TTTTTTTTTTTTTTTTTTTTTTTTTTTTTTTTTTTTTTTTTTTTTTATAAAAAGAAACAAAATAATTTGCAATAGCTATATGGAAATTAAAATCCAACCCTGAACATTCTATCTATTGATTTCCATTGGTACATCAGTAACAATGCTCCCTCGTCTCTATCACTACTCTGTAGGGACTCGAAACAATACCTTCAACTATAGAACTCGCAAAGGGATTCTATTAGAATAATATAGTGAAAGTTGTTTAACCTGAAAATCAAATCCATCATCAAGCCCATCTCCTTCATAGAACTGAACATAAAGAACACTAATACACAAGCTGCAGAGTCTTGTACCAAATCCAAAGATGCGATGAGGGCATCTATAATTTACAAAGAGAGGCAAATTATGTTTTGCTTCAGTTCCATCCATCTCTTGGTCTTATTCATATGTTCAAATTGCTAATATACTTTTCTCTGATACAGCAGGCTATGCCAGAACAGCTTCAGGTTCAGCCAGTCTGCCACTGCTTGCAGGTACCAAACTGTCATAATATTCAACTAACACCTTCCATCCACCTGGGCACATAAACCCTTCTGGTGGATTCTCCTTGTTCTTCGCTAGTGTTCTCATCTGCATCATCCAAGTAATATGTTTTTTCATTATACAATCAATGGTGCTAACATATATATTTAGTCCTCACTGTTAATTCTCCAGTCAACTGGCAACTAATATGGCGACATGTGGGAGCTGACATGGCACACATTAATATACTCAATGGTTGCCATGTATAAAAACCAAGGTGACAGTCATGTCACTTGTATATGGTGCCTTGCCAACAGCACCCATCTTTCACGTGACGCCATATTAATGTTTTATCGATTTAATTGGATAGTTGATGTTTGAGATTAAATTCATTTGAATGAGCATAGCTCAGTTAGTTTAGCATACACTCTGGATTAAAAGGTCAGAGATTTGAATCTCTCACTCCACACTCCTCTAGATATACTAGATACTAGATACTATAAATAAAGGTAGAAGACAATGATTAGAATTATGATGAAAGCAGGCAATTACCTTGGTGCCGGATATGAATAGGAAATCCTGAGCTCTCGAGGGGTCGAAGAAAGCCATTTTGCCCTGAGTTTTATCATAAGCAGCAACCTGAAAGTAAAATAAAATAGATGAGCGGCTCTTCGACTTAAGTGATAATCTACCAAGTTTGGTCCAGAGCATTCTATATAGACTTACTCTGAAGGGAAGGATGTTCAGCCGCTCTAGTCCAGGTGCCATGCTCAAAACTTTCTTCCCATGGTCAGCATCATACAAATCCCTTTTCTTAGTAGGATGACCCATTCCAGCTGGGTCGCGTCCAACAATGTAAAAGTTGGCTCCTGCATTGATTCTTGCCTTTGCATGCCACTGCACCTCAGTTGGCCCTGCATAGTGCATAGGAGATGGAAATATGGAGACGACCGTTGTCTCTGGATCAAGAACACCATCCTCAAGGACCTGGTAGAATTAGTGCAGATAAAAAAATTTAGAACTTTCCATGGACAATCAATAAATAGAGTAGGAAAGATGGTTCAAAATTAGGCACCTTCTCATGTTGCTTCATTCGCCAACCTAGTGGAACATCATCTGCCTTGGTGTAGCCACCCAAAGGATGAAGCAACAAAACGGGGTTCTTGTATCCCATTTCAAGCAGTCGACGGCGGGTATCCGTCATTAGTAATGCATGCCCATTATGTACTGGATTTCGAAGTTGGAATGCGAACACAGCATCTGCATTTCGCCGGGTAAATTCCTCCCGTAGTTCTGCAGGTGACTGTCGGAAACGGTCTAGCCCATCATGGTACTTGATTGGTTCTATAACCTCTAAGTCACCTCCTATCAGCCAGTTACCAGCATTGGTTATGGCTTGATCAACGTAAGGGAGCCCGGGAGCAGTGGTGCCCCAGGTTCTTGCTATCCTTTCCTCTTTTGGGTGCTTGTAGATCTCAATACTGATACACCCAACAAGGAAATTAGAAGACTAATTAGATGGTATGAAATGATCTCAGCAGGCAAGTAACTGCTACTATTAGAATTAGCATGCATCTTGTCAATGGATTATAACAATCAGGCCTCCAAGAAAGTGAACGTTTGTCAAAATCTTCACCATGCCACTATTGATATGATCCCAAATAGACAAAAGATGTGAAATCCAATCCAATCCAAACAGATATAAATCACAATTGGAACCCATGCAAGGTGAATCATCCAAGTTTTGGATTTTCTACGACATAAAGATATACTAGACTAGCACTTACTTTTTCTCCTAGGCATGATAATTAAGAGGTGTCTCAATTCTCAACTAGGCTGTCTCTGTTAGGAGATATCGCCCAACAAGCTACACTACTGACCTTCTAGGGAATTAGAAACCGAGAGGAAAAAAGCAAGAAACTTTATGGATATACTATTTTCTTTTGCAGACAGAAACAGAAGAGATAGGAAATATAATTATGAATTCCTCGAACAATACATGGCATAGAGATAGATTCGTTAAGAACAAAGCCACACAATGGCTTCACCAGATCATAGCGTAGAGATAGATTCATCATGTCCCAATCAGAACCACAAGCTTGAGAAATGAAAAGCAATAGAAAAGTGAGAAAATCTTACTCCTTCATAATAGCGATGGGGTTGTTGTTGGCGTCAAAGAGAGCCACACTGGTGGAGTCGCCGATGTGGTGCTTTTGGGCATCGTCAATGGCCAAGACAATGGGCACTGACATGTTCGCCACAGACCCATCTGGAAGCCTGAGCGAATTGAAATGAAGCGTTTGGAGGAACTCGGATTCTCTCATGAATCCGGTAAGAGGACTGGCCCATCCTTCGCTGAGCACATGGACCCATTGAATATCGATGCTCGAAAGGGAGATCCTCGGCAAGGATAAGGCCTCCTTCTTCTTCAAACCCCTCAGAGGCTCCTCAACCAGAAGCTCCACCAGCCTTCCGCCGTCTGGTTCGATCAAACCGGCGGAAACTCGGAGCCGGAGATTGGCCTTCTTGGCCTTGAAGCTCCCAGCAGGAAGGGAGATTTTGATCGGAGCGTGGGTGTAGGAAGTTTTCTGAATAGAATGAAATGGAGATGGGGCTTTGATGAATCGAGTCGCCGTGGACGCCATCTCGGATGGAGACCAAGGCTTCAAAAGCGAGATTAAGGACAGATTAACCTGAAATTAGGGAAGAAGACGAAATGGGAAGAGATTAATCCGATGGTGGAAAAAGTGAGAGAGAAGATGGAACAAAAAGGGGAATCGGAGCGGGGGATTTTGCAACTTTTTAGAGATAGTGGGATGGGATAGAAATATATAATGAAGATTCTTTCATTGAATAATTATTTTTGGTTGGGAGGATGAACCTGGACATCTTTTTCTTCCTCCCATTCTTTTTGTTTCTTCCCATTTTGATGCTCCAAGCTGCTATTCCTTGGAGATTTTAAATTCTTACTACCCGTTAATGATTGTATTTTTCCGGCGGAAAAATTAGTGCTAAATACATAATTTCTCTATTTTTATTAGGATTTCTTTGTTTGAGACCGAAAACATTGCCATGTAAATTAAGAAAAATCTGTACATGAATATGTTGCTGGTCACGTAGTGTTCGATCCAGTTAACACTAAGAATTATAGTAGAAGAAGAATAGTAAGTCTGGAGAATCGCAGACATATGACTTTTTAGAGTTCTTATCTAAGTCAAAAAAGGACGGCCCCTAATGAGGCCGACCTTAGCCACGACCTCTTGTCAAGATCGAAGGTAAGAAATTTGACCCAATTTCTTAACTTCTTTGTTTTGTTGCTTAATCTTTTGTATTGGTCTAATTTTGTTCCATGTTGATAAAGAATCAACTCAAACGAAAGCTCTAATACCAAATAATAAATACTCACTACAAGGAAGTAAGATTCTTATTATTTTGTTGATCGAATATCTCAAGGTAAGAAAACTTGTTTGAGATTCGAATCACTCCACAAACAAGATCGATCGTGTCTAGCTTGAATGATTATAAACCACATAGAATTGAAAAGAAAATGTATGAACACTTAGCCATTGGATAAAAGAAAGCACAAATACTCATTTTACTACATTTTCCAAATCTCTTTACAAATATAACATTCATGTTTTATATAGCCTCAAAATGAAGACTCTCAACCTTTAGTAAGCATTCTAAAAAGTTAGTAACTTTCATGTTTTCGTGACTATAATTAGTCATTGTGCAACATAATTAGCCCGTAAGTAGGTAAATAAGTCTTACAATATATTAAAGAAACACCATAACTCTAAACTACAATCCACCCATCCAAAAATTCTAACCGTTTAAAAATGAATGAAGCTTTTCAATTTGAGTTTGTTAGAGTAAGTAGACGTTTCTAAAACAAATTTGTTTAAAGTAATGGTCTGTTGAAATTTTAGAATAATTCTTTTAGGTATAAATTATTCGCTAATATAATAACATTTTTTTTTGAAATATTAAAGTACCTTCCATTTTCATGTTACTTTTTACGTCATTTTTTTCTTTGAGTCAACCTAGAGTTGATTGGATGATGTCCATAGGAAAGATAAAGATGCCCCTTCAGGTTCCTTGAATGTTCTTAATCTTTGAATTCAAACCTCTATCATTAAAGCATGATATCTTTATTAGATTTTGTCCAATTGAACTTTCCCCATTTTGTTGCCCAAATTCAAACTCCACCAACCTTAATACAAAATAGAAACCCAAATTTAAATTTTCTTCTCCTCTTATCTATGCCTTACAAAATTTCCACATTTATTATGAAATTGGACTTGGGAACCTCAGGCCTTACGATTCAATCACCCTGCAGCCGCCATTACTTTCTTCTTTTAATAATACCCTTTTTTTTATATATATATAAAAAATGAGGCCCAAACCTAGGCCCAAACCCAAGCCCAAATACATAGACTAAGTGAGATGGCCCAATAAGCAGCCCAAGTCGAATAACAAGGCCCAATGAATTTAATTTTTGGAAACATTTAGCATGAGTTTAGATTTTTTTAAATTAAGGTAATAATATAATTCCCTTTTCTTAGGTTCATAAAATAAATAGTATTTCTAATATAATTATTATAATGTAAATTTAAATAATTAAATAAATAAAAACTCATATAAAATTGTAAAAGTAAGAAAAAGAAAGGGATAATGTTTGGTTTCGAGTCTTGATGAGCTCATTAACTCTGGATTTGTATTCGTGGAATGGGGTCCAATAACGAGACAATAAAAGACAAATTTTTTTTTTTATTTTTTTTTTTTTTATGGGACTTTCCATGGGTTGTAAGGACGAAAATGCCCTTGCCTTTTTTATTGGGCTCTTTTTTCTTTTATTTTATATTTTTCTTTTTGGAGTTCTGACCGTTTTGCTTTTTGGGTGAAGGATTAAAGTGTTTTGGTGCCTTTTGATGGCTAACTGGCCAAAGTTTAAAAAAGGGGAAGAGAGTGTGAAAAGACAGAAATGTCATTATACAAATGGAATGAAATAAATAAATAAATAAATCCAACTAATATTTTGATTTTAGTTTAAACTTTGATTCTAAAAACTGACTTCAAATCCCTATAATTCTCAATGGAACGTTAGGAACCATAACTCTCCACAATGGTATAATATTGTCTACTTTGAAAATAAATTCTCATCGCTTACTTCTGATTTTCCCAAAAGGCCACGTACCAATGAAGATGTATTTCTTACTAATTATTGACCACTTTTTATTTATATTATATTATTTAATTGTTCAGATATTATGAGTATTGTTATACTAACAATGGGAGGGCATGTGTGGATGGATATTATACCCTTTTTCTCCACATTCTCTTTTAATTCCTTTGCCCATACTTTTTACCTTCTTCTATGTGTGTTTGATCACAAAACGCTCTAATATTGTGTCCCTAATGTATTCTTCTATGTTCGAGTTAGTGCTTAGATTAAAGTGGCATTGAGCTGAATTACAATAATATTGTGTAAATCATTAATGGGATGAGCCCATGATGTTTATACTTTTTTCATTGTCTTATTATTAGAGATATACTTGACATGACAAAGAAAATCGATAAAGACAAAGAGCAACAGATACCTAAGTTCAATTAGCATCAAGCTCGATTGACACGACATATACTCTTTCTCTATCAAGTTGTACTCGATCCTCCCAAATGCCTCACTGGGAGCTAGGCGTTTATGTAGACCTTGTGGTCCTAAAACTAACCTGGGTGATGAGCCATAGAGTCTAAATTCTACTCGTAATTTTACTGTCAAATTTCTATCAATTCAATCCATTCCTTTCAAATTGAACTCAAATCTTGATTGTGATTCGATGTCCAGTATGTTCTTTGTAAGCTCACATCGCTTTTGATTTAAAACTTTGGATTCACTTTTATATTCAAAATAGATTATGAATCATACTTCGTTGTGGTAAGCCCCAGAGATTGGGAATTTAGTTTAGTCATTACGTGGCAAAATTATGGCCTAGTGGACACAAATGATTGCGTATCCCTGCCTTGCAGAATGCAGTCAATAGTCAACTATAGTAATCATCTCATCTTGTAACAACATCCAATCACAACCGTCCAAATTCTAATGAGTGCTCTTTGAATCAGCACTTGGAAAACTCATAACTTAATATGGTACACGTGGCGTCTGGGTCCCATTTTTTCACCCCTCTACAAGTCGTGGATATCATCATACACAACCACTACTCCTTCCTTCCGTGGGCGTTCCATTGGTCCACATCAGCTAGAGATGTGATTTCCTACTTGGCATTTACTTTATTTTACACGCTAAAAATGTTTGGTTCTCACTACTCCTTCCTTCCGTGGATGTTCCATTCGTCCACATCAGCCAGAGATGTAATTTCCTACTTCGAGTCCTATTTTCCTCATTTTAATTTCTAGCCGTTGATCGAGCTTAGATTGATGGTGTGGAAAATGTTTCGTTCCCATCCTTAATCAAAGTAGAATCTCATAGAAGAAATACAAGAAAAGTGGGAGAGTTGGTGAGGGTTAGGAGGGGAACATATAATTTGTTTCTTTTAAGGTCCATAAGTCAGGGAAATAAAGTAAAAACTTAAGTTTCTATTTTTGTAGGCATGAGGATTTTTCACTCTTCTTTCACATCATAATTCTAAAAGGCTTCATTATTGATTGATTATTCCATGTGTTTGTTCATCTTTAGTTGAGTAGGCTATTCAAGCTGATTTGAATTCCTCTTAATACTGTTTCCATGAAGAACTTGGTACCCATATGGTGCATGAATTAAAAAAAAGATCCAATTTTACCATTGGATTAGAAGAAACTGAGAGAGAGAGAAGAACAGAGTAGCCTGCAGGAGAGAGGATTGCAACTTCAAATTATTCTTCTTCTGTGTATGATTGCTTTTGAAAATGGCCTCTCCCTCTCTCTCTCTGTACCCTTTAATTTATGGTGTGTGGTACGTCCCCGAGGCTGCGCGCCATCAGAACAGAACCGAATTGTAAAACAGAGAGAGACGAAGAGGAACAGAGTCTTCCCTTTTTTTTGTTTTTCTTTATCCTTTTGGTGATAAAGGATACACCAAAAGGCACATTGCATGCGTGTTTAAAGCTTATTCTTCATCATCACCTCGCTTTCTCCACGCCCTTCCTCTCTTCCATTGCGTCCTTTTTTTCACGTTCTTAACTATTTCCCTCTCTTTTCTCGTTTCTTTTTGTTTCTTAGCTGAGTTATAGAGCTCTTCTGCAGTGACCCTTTTCTGGTTTGGGGTTTTGGAGCTCTGAAATTGTACTACTTGTAGATTGCATTGGTTTTTAGGGTGAGTTCTTTTCTTTTTGAATTCTGGGTTTGCTTCTTCTTCGTGGTTATTCAATGGGGCCGCCACTTTTGCAGCATTGAATCTTTGGGTATCAGCTGGATAGTGATTTTGCTACCCTTTTCTATATTTATTCTGGATTTGGGTATCATTGAATCTTTGGGTATCAGCTGGGTGTTTCTGCATAGTTTATTTTTCGGGGTTTTCTGTGGTGTCTTCCTTAATGGAAGATTTCGTCCTTGTTTTCGATGATGGACTCCCAAACAAGATCTGGGTTTCTAAAATTTTGTTCACTTTTTTGAACTCTTATCCTTGCATTTAGGAATTTTCAAGCCGTCGGAGGTGTTTTTTTTTTACTGATTGTGTATTCGATTGTTTGAATTTGCTGAAACAATGGCTGTAAAATTGGGTTTTGATTTAACATAGGAATAGTAATGTTTGAAAACGTTGAAGAAACTGCCAAAGTTTTGGACATGTTTTCAACTTTTCGTATGAAACAATGATTCATTTCTCTTTTGAAGGATTCTTCGTCGTATTTATGCTGACATGAAGTTTTGCTCTTCTGGGTTCTTTT